TGTTTTCACTYACCTGCTGTTGGTTTGGGGACATTCGGTGCATTTGACCCAGAACTTCTGCCTTGCTGAGGATAAGAAGGAAGGAGGACGGAGGCAGAGGATGGAGGTAAAGGATGGAGGTAAAGAATGGAGCTAGAGGATGACAGAGGATGGAGGTAAAGGATGGAGGCAGAGGATGGAAACAGAGGATGGAGGTAAAAGATGGAGCCAGAGGATGAAGGCAAAAGATTGAGGCAAAGAATGGAAGCAGAGGATGGAGAGAGAGGATGAAGGCAAAGGATGGAGACAGAAGATGGAGGTAAATGATGGAGGCAGAGGATGGAGCCAAAGGATGGAGGCAGAGGATGGAGCCAGAGGACAGAACCGGAGGATGGAGCCATCCCTTGGTGGCTTTGCACGGTGGCCCCAAGTACAGCTGAGCTGTGGAACATCAGCTTTGCCTGCAGCAGCTCCACATCCCACCCATTCCTCACTGCCTGGGTGTTTTTTTTTTTCACCCTCCCTTTGCACAGCACTAAAATTAATGCCTGAAAATGAGAGTTTGCTTGAAAAGAATCCATCATTTGATTATCACTTTAATGCAGGCAGCCCGGGGAACATCTGCCTCTGCCAGGCTGTGTCTCCTCCTGCTGCTGTGGGRAATTGCTGGGAAGGGCTGCTGTGCTGCTGGGGAAACTGGAAAAAAGCCAAACCACTGGCAGATGCCCTGGTGGCTGCTGTGGCTGAGGAGAGCAGTGAGGATCTTTGCTGGATGAGGCACCAGAACCCCTCTTGGAGCACCCATGCCCAGGTCACTGCCTCTGGTCCAGTTGTGATTCAGGGATTCACAAATTAAAATGCTGATCTCCATCACGTGGGAAATCATTCTGTCAGTACCAGGAGTGCCTGGCTTTGCACTGGGGCAGGGGCAGCAGCATCGGACCACTCCTGACCTGCTTGACCCCTGCCAGGTCCCACCTCCCTGGGGAACCAGGGACAATAGAAAAATGGATAGGGAAATGCCCAGCGAGGCAGAATTTCCTCCATCCCATGACACAGCCCATGTGCCGTGGTGGAAYGGGGTCTCCAGCCCCCTTAGGCTTCTCTGCTGCCTCTTGGGAACATCACAGCCCTGGACTTAGAGGCTTTTTTTGGAAAATGTCACCAGCTTGTGATGAGTCAGTCGTGCCTCTCTGCAGCCTGCCCACTGCTTCGTGCGAGGCGTGGGGCTGTCCCCACGGGCATCTCCCTGCTGCTCCCTGCTCGCCGAGAGAGAGGAGAGCCTTTTGCTGGCAGCACACACATGGAGCCGGGCCGGGGGCTGGGGCTGCCCCAGGGACCGACAGACAGACAGACAGACAGACAAACAGAAACGGCGGTGCTGCAGCACCCGGGGCCAGGGGCTGCAGCTGCCATGCGGGGCCGAGGCACTGCCGCTCCCCGGGGCTGCTCAGAGCCCCGCAGCACAGGCTGTGCGCCCCGATGGCTCCAGTGGAAGGRGAAGGGGGTGGAAATCCACAGAGAGACCTCTGAAAGCTGGTCCGGCAAATACAGAGCATCCAGGTGTGCTGGAAGGGATGCTCTGGCTCCAAATAAASCAGGAATGCCAGAGCTGAGGCTGCTGATAGACCATCCCCCCTGTGCCCGAGGACAGAGAGGTTTATGTGATTTTTTAACTCTCTGACCTCTCCAAGCTCTGTCGGTCCCAGCCTGGGATCTGCTATCCGTTATTTCCCTTGCAGCCTCATTCTTCATCCATCCCCAAGTCCCAAGAGTGAGGGGGGATCCCCTTCCCTGGGGGCTATGGGAGCAGGATGAGGGATCAAAATCCTTCCCTGGGACCAAAATCCCCTCCTAGGGACAGCAGCTGAGCACAGAAACACACGGCAGAGACACATGGGGAGGCCTGTGAGCCTGATTTCTCAGAATTCCTGGTGCAGGTATGGCATGAGATGCGTCTGAGCCCAGCTCTGGGTGATCCCACGTGCAACCAGCGAMTTCCAGCTCCCCAGGCATCAGGGAAAGAAGGAACACATTGGACTGGGCAGGGGAAGTTTGGTGCAGGTGACTCTCAGCATCTCACAAGGGCACGGAGGCGGGGATAAAAACCCCAGTGTCCAGGGAAGGAAAATTAAACGGAATTAGCACCTTTTACCCTCTGTCCTCTCCATCTGTGTCCCTTTCCACTAAAGGATGCAGAGTTCCCCTTCCTCTGCACGGCCTGAGCTCCGTGGGACCTGCAGGTGCTGAACGGAGCGGGAGCCTTGTGGGAAAAACACATCCAATAATTGCTGTGCAAATCTGTGTTGCAGCGCACAGACACAAAGGGATGAAAGGAGGCTGCCTGAACATCCTGACATTTCCTCCTTTCTGACTTCTCGTCTCAGGCATCCCGAACATCCTTTTATGGCACATTTGCCGGCAGTTTCCTCAGACAAAGGAAAGGAAATGGGATTTCCAAGACACCCAGGGACGGCGCTGATGGTGAGGGGCTCTGACCAGCACCACGGGGGAGGTGACAAAGGTTAGAGCTCGGTGCTGTCACCTCCCCGGCACCAAAATTCCCAAATCCCACTGCAGGGAGCACCTGGCACCCTGCCCAGCTGGCTCTGCCCTCTCCCCTTCCCCACAGAGCAGCTCTGGAACCACCCAGGGGAGGGGATGGAAAGGAAGAGATTCTGCACCCCACGCTCCTGTGCAGCCCTGTGCAACCCCAGCCTGTCTGGGCTGGAAATTTCAAGTTGTTCTAAAGGCAGCAAGTTAACAAGATTTGGAAACCAGGTCAGCGGAAGAAGTTCAATTAGCTGCTGAACCGTGGGGACCAGCTCGTGTCGTGGCTGCTTTATTGGCGCCTCGGACAGGTGTGATTGACCCCACACACATCAGTCTGGCTGGGATGGGGAGCTGAGGAGGGGACATCTGGACATTCATCAGACATGAGAAACGACACAAAAGGCCAAAATCAGCCACGGGACAGCCTGAGCCATCCYGCTGTGCTGTRTCATWGAATCAYCAYGGAATTACAGAATGGSCTGGGTTGGAAGGGATCTTAAAGATCTTTCTGTTCCAACCTCACTGCCATGGGCAGGGACACCTTGCACTGTCCCAGGCTGCTCAGAGCTCCATCCAGCCTGGCCTCGGACACTTTTGGGAACCCCGTGCCAGGGCCTCCCCACCCTGACAGGGAGGAATTTCTTCCCAATATCTAATCTAAACCTCCTCTAAAGCCACTCCCTCCTGTCCTGTCACTACACGCTCTTGTAAACAGCGGCTCTCAATCTTTCCGTATCAGCAGCTCTGCTCCCCCCAGCCCTGCAGGAACCTCCAGGCTCCCACTCCCACTGCTCGTCCTGCTCTTCCCGGACACCTCTGGGGAGGGGACAGCCCAAGGGGACAGGCGGCAGGGCTCGCAGGGAGCTGGCAGGGCTCAGGCGACCTGCTACCTGTCTTGTCKCGTCACCGCAAACATCTGCTGCGAATAAAACAGCGCGAGAAAGGCGCAGCAAAAGGGCCTCTCGGAGCAGCTCTGCAGCCCCAGGAGCGGGAGAGACGCGGCGCCTGTCACGCCGCATGAAAAACCTCTTTCATTAGCGGCGGGCTGGAGCGCAGATCGCGGAATCGCAGCAAGAATCACAGCTTGGAATCCCAGCGCAGCTTCCTGGGGGCTCCGCAGGCAGGCGGGCACGGCCCTGGCTCTGTGGGCACCTGGGGTATGGCTTTATTCCGACAGGGAGCGTTTCACCCACAAAACGAGGAGCTCGGGGCTTTGAAGCCTGTCCAGGAATGCCGGGGTGCTGCCAGCAGGGAATGCTCGCTGATCCCGAGGGAAGAGCCCCTCTCCATCCTGCAGCCGTGCAGAGCCCCCTGCCCGATCCTGGCACGGGACAGACACCCAGGCTGYCCGGAGAGCGGGCAGTGCCAGCCTGGACAGTGCGGGAGGGAATCGCGGCACCGCAGGAAATCCAATTTTCTGTATAAACCCCGTCCCTCTGTCCTGGGACAGCATTTCTTGGATGTTCAGTCAGAGCAGGGCCAAGATGGGGAGCAAAACAGAGCTGGGCTGGCAGCGGTGGCACCCGGGGCTGCGGGCGAGGAGGGACCAGGGAGGGGCGAGGGAAGGGAAGGGAAGGGAAGGGAAGGGAAGGGAAGGGAAGGGA